AAAGATCCCCCCCCCCGTGCTTCGCTTCCCTCCCACGTTCCCCCCGCCGGGTTTGCATGGCTGAGCTGGGATGCTGCGGGTGGGAAAATCCTGCCGGAGCGGAGCGCTCCCTGCGTGTCCCTGAGGGGTTCGGAGAGGGTGGGGGGGCTTCCCCGGGGGGTGCCGGCAGGAGCCACTCTCCTCTTCTGCACGGGTTTGCACCCGTGGAGAGAAGCTGCCGGTTCGCCCAGAGCTCGGGACAGAGCGAGCCTTAGCGTGAAGTTCCAGCCAGAACTTCCTGGAGGGTGTTTTCCTTAACCTGATTGTTTATCACGAAAATATTAGTGGAAGCCTGTTTTAATAACCTCGGTGTCAGGAATCGAAGCAGCGTCGCGCTCCCCGGGGAGTTTGGGCAAACACGAGGCGAGATGCGAGCGGTCCTCGTGGTCCTGCTGCTGCGGGGGCCGAGTGCCTCAGCCGTGCAGGGTGGGCCAGCGAGACAGAACAGGGATTTGCACCCAGCCTTCTGTCCAGGACGTGTTTAAAATAAATAATATGCGCTGGCTCAACCCTAAAGATTGCCAAACAGGCATTTGATTTGAGGCTCGGTGACAGCTGTGCTCTGCTGAGAACCAGCTGATTATTTACATTGTCACTAGTTCTTCAGGCAGTGATGTAACGTGTCAGCTCCACGTGTGTCTGATATACACGTCATGTATATGCTTAATGCGTATATGAGAGAATTTTGCGTGAATCCTTCGCTGCTTTAGAATGCCCGTTTTAAAATGTTTCGTTAAACTCTTGTGAATTGTGGAGAGCGTTGGCTAATGAAGGTGGCATTAGAGCACCTGTTAAATTGCCATCCTGGTACGTTGAACTGTCCTAGTCCCCCCATCTGGACAGATCCCAAAGGCTTCATGGAGCAGCGGGAGCTGCTCTCTGTCGGGCTGTGCCGGGAGAGGAGGCGCAAGGTGGGGTGCGCAGGAATGGGAACGGCACGTGGGAACCTTCCCCTGGGTCCAACACGGATCTGAGACTGCTGGGTCAGCAGGCAGTGCCTTTGCCAGCCTCCAGTCTGCCTCACATATGTTTGAAGGAGCTGCGAAGGAAAATGCAGAATTGTTTCCTGCTGTCAGCTTCCTACCCAAAGCTCCTGCCCTCGGCTGGCGGGTTACACGGCCCCGTCTGGGGTTTCGTGCTCCGGGACTCCCAAACTTTTAACTCCGCAGCAGCACGTTGGGGAAAAGAGCGTGTTCGTTGCTCGCTGTGGTTACGAACCAGGATGCGTTTTGTGATCACAGCCTCTTGGAGCAACGGGCTTTTGCAAAGTGTCTGCGAGCCCCACTGAGGAGCGGCAGCCCTGCCAGGCAGGAGGGCATGTTTCGGATAGCTGTAGCTTGCGAGTGTTGTGGGGGGGTTACTCGGAGCAGTGCGGCGTACAAACGTGTGGGTTTGGATGAGAATATTAACTGTTCAGGCTCTGAGAGCTCCTGTACTATCCCCTCTTTGGGGACAGACAGATCGAGCTGTCCTGCTATGGATTTCTCCATCTGGGCCATGCTGCGGATTTATAAATCAAATTATGCTGGTCCTGGTGCCAGGCAGGGAGGAGCGCTGGACAAGTCGTCTTTTCCGGTTAGGAGACGGATAGCTGCTGGTGGAGGATCCCAAAGTGTTGCCTGCCTGCAAGCCAGCCGAGCTGAGGTCTGGCTGCAAACTGCGTTTAATTTCTAATGCCTGGGGAACACAGACTTTGTTGCTTGCTTTTGATTAAAATATGTGTCGGTCTGAGCTGTCTGCTCTGAATGATGGACTCGCGAGGGAAAGCAGTGTTGTTACTGGATTCTGCAGCAGAAGTGGGTGGTGGGACTTAAATAGTGGTTTGGTTCCTCTCACCAGAGAAGTTGCGGAATGCTGGGTCGTAGTCTCTGCTCTCTCAGCCCAGCTGGAGTCCTGGAGCACTGGGAGGACAGAGCATAATGATGGCATCCGTCCCTTCCGTAACTCGGTGCGAGCCTGGACTGCCAGGACTAGCTCCAGAATTCCCTCTCGTGTGAGATTTCAAGGAAGAAGAAAGTTTGCCGTTGCGAGTTTCCCCCGAGTGATGTAGAAACGCAATCGTTGCCTGCGGTGCCCTGCGCTGGAGACCCGGGTTTGCGGTGTGGTCCCTTCCCTGGCTTGTCGGGAGGTGCGAAGCCGGAGCTGTGGGAAGGGCAGCTCCCCACGTAGCCCCAAGGCATGTTGTTTAAGCTCACACTCAGGTTCACGACAGGCTGCTGCTCTCTGGTTACTCACACGTGGCGTTTGCTGGGTTGGAATTGCAGCTTTGCTTCAGAAGAATACAGCTTTTTGCAGGGTATTTGGCTGAGCGGGGTTGGGGTTTAGGTGGAGCACGTGCCCTGGCTAAACCCTAGTGCTGCCGTGGTGTTGGTAGAGGTTCCTCGAGCAAAGACAGCCCTAGCAGCTGATGATGCCCTCCGTAAGGAGCCCTGTGCACTGAGGCACGCTGAAGGCTCTTGTTTCCTGGTATTACCTGGACTAGATTCTCAGAAGTGCCTGACATGTTGTGAGACTGCAAATCCAGCCAGCAGTGTTGGGGTGGGAGTGCTGAGAGGACTTGAAACCCTGCCTAGACTCAGAAACCCAAGTGGGAGGTGAGCTCTTTGGTAAATCCACCCCTGAGCGCCTGGCACTGCAAACTCCAGGGGTGAGCTCTGTGCACCTGCATCCCTGCCGCTTTCCCTCTTGCTTCCCTTGCTTTCCCCTTTTCCTTTCCCATTTTGCTGGATTTTAAGCTTGTGTTGTGAAGTTAAAGCCATGCTCCCTCTGTGCTGCTGTGCTACACATGTTTGTGACAGAAGCACCAGAATAACTGAGTGCCCATGCCCCAGTTTGCCTTCCCCCCCCCCCCCCCCCCCCTCCCAACAAAATAGTTTTTGTCTTC